AACAACCCTTTCTTTTCTGAGGCTTGGTTTAATTTATCACACATCACCTCAGGTGAATCAACATTTCATCCTTCCCCAGGCAGAAATGTGCTGATCAGCTGAATTATTAATGTGAAGCAAAACAGTCCTTAACCATACATACAGTGGCCATGGGAGGTGTGAGAAACAGCCCGCACTGCTGATGCATGTTGTCTTTGTGATGCCATTCCTAAAGAAAAGCATCATGCTGAGAGAGAGGAAGAGCTGTATTTCTTCTAGCTCTCCACAGAGGGACGGATAGAGCTTTAGGTGGCAAAAAGTGACCTGCGCTGTGGAAACCTGCTATAACTTACCCTGTTCTCTCCATTTCTCTCCAGAACAGGTAAATGACAATGGATTAGCAACACTTGTCACAAGAGCACAATCTGCAAGAAGTGAGGATCTTATCTCAGTTTACTGGTAAGTGACCTGTTCTTGTCCAGCAGATCTTGCTGCTGTAATTCCTCAGAAAATTTAGCTTGTTTTTTTTTTTTTAACATTTAAAAACAAAAAAAAAAATCTGCAGTCTTAAAATTGCATTAAAAAAAAAAAGTGATCAACCACATTTATCTGAGCAAGGGATCTGCTTGAGCTGAGAGACTGACAGGCGTTCATAATGAAAACTGGAACTCCATCTGTGCAAATAAAGGTGTTGGCTGCAAGGAAGGCAAGTGGTTTCTCAGCTTGTTACATCAGCTTCACTGCTCTACTAGCCCTTGCATAGCTGCTCTCCAAACATGGTTGCTGCACTGTAAAAGCCATAAGCCCACTCCATGTCTAACTGAGCACATGAGTCCTCCACAAATATGCATCAAATCAAGCTGCATTTCCAGGTGAAATTAAACCAAATGCTGTATGCTCAAAATGACTGATGGGAAAAATAATAAACAAGTGGTTTGCAAAGGTGATAAATACTCAGTCTGGCTTACAGTCCATTAAACCCCTTTCCCACTTCTGTGCAGAGGCAGAGGTGTCAAAAGAATTACAGCATTAAATTTAGAGCTGGCAGGTGCAAGTCTCAGCACAATTCACTCCATATGGAATCATACATATGTGGCTATTTTTAGCAAAAGAGAGATTGTGGCTTTGCACCCATGTCTTGAAAAGAAACTCAAATCCAGAACATTTCCAAATTTAGCCCTGTGGTAAGAAAGGAATCAAATAGAGGCAAACATGAAAAGACTATACAGGTATTGTCTATATCACCTTGGAAGCTAAATACTGTGGGTTGGCCGTCATAAAGGAACCATCTTGTTCTGACCTCAATGCACATTTTATACATTTACTTATTGTGGAGCTATGCAGCTGGATTAGTGCCCTAACTCCAAGTAGGAAGGCCTGCATAAATAGTATTACTGAAAGTCTTATGCAGTTGACGTATCACCATGCCTAGAAAGATCATATTGAGTGGATGCAATCAAGAGATCAAACAGATTTTTCCAGAATGTTTTCTAGACAAATTAGACTTGCACAAAGCATAAGCCATGGTTTATCTGCATATTGGCTCTGGCTTTTCTTTGGATGCATACAACCTCACCTGTGATGTGCTCACCTCTCCCCTACAGTAGTTCCTGAGTGATACATGCAGGTAATGCGGCTGCGGCAGGGAAGGCTTAGGTACGAGAGAGAGGTCTTGGAGGATGAAGCTGTACTGTGAAAAGAATGTTCTAGTTCTGGGAAGAAAAAGAGATGAGAATAGCCCAGCACACTGGCTGCAGCTCACCTGAAGGAGCACACCACTCCCTTCAAAAGCACTAAGGGGTTTGTCAGGGCACAGGGGAGTACTGCAACTTTCCTGCCCAAGGGAAGGAAATTAGCTTAACATACCTTGCTGACTCCAGACAACAGGCTGGGAGGCCTCAGATGCCAGGAGAACAAAAGATAGATTTGAAGGACTGGGCTGGGGGGGGAGCAAACCCAAACCCAAACCCAAACAAACATAAAAAAAAGCAGTTTTGCACTTTACAAGGACATTAAAGATTCCAACCTCCACCCCTTAAATGTAGGTGTAGGGAACGGATGAATGGACACAAATTTCCTGGAAAATAAATTCCTGGAAATAAATTACCACTGTGCCTTAGAAGAAATACAACCTTTTCCTAAGATTGTGAGGATCTATTTAACTTTGAACCTGGTAAACATCAGCACATTTCCTCTGTGCTCCTGGCAAAACCACACTGCCTCCATCTTCTTGCAAGTATCTTTCTCCCTACAGAACACTAAACAATTAGTATCAGGTAACCATGCTGCAGCCTTGGGGCTGGAACCCATAGAAAAGCCCCATAGGGAATGGACAGGTTTGAGTTTCTCCAGCCAAGGCCCATCCCACCACCCTCAGGGAGGGGACAGACCACAGCATGAGGCACCTCCATGGTAACCAAGTAGTCAGTCTGCAGGTCAAAATCAACAGCATCCATGGCTGGATACATCTGTGGCAGAGCTGAAGACCTACACTCCTAAACATAAATCAAGAAAGGACTGATGGCCCATGGGCAGAGGGGTTTGTAGAGGACGGGTGAGGCTGGTCATGGCCATTAAGGTGGGAGCAACAAAAGTAACCTCCCAGGAAGACTTAGCAAAGCTACTCTGTCCCCTTGATCTGCACTGATAAAGACTGTCTGGTAGGATCGGGTAAGTAAATGTGCTGACATATGCAAAGATATCAGATTGATAAAAAGAAAGGTAATTTTATGTTTAAAAATCCTTCTTTGTAAATGTTCTATTCTCACCAGATTTCACTTTCATATGGTAAACCAGTTACTCACACATATGCTTTTCTTAGTTCTCCCTTATGTTTGCTACTTTTTGCCACAGTGGTCTGGAATAAAGTCACAGCCTGAGCTGCATGCAAAGATGACCATTCAGGCAGAAATAATAAGGGGAAAAATACTCGTTATAGATCTGACCTCTCATGTACTTGGGAAACTAATAGCAATCAATGTCTTCAGCTACACACGATTTACTACAACATGATATGTCTGGCCCAAGAGGTGAGTAAAACTGATCCCTGGCAATGGCCATTATTCTTCACATGCCACTTTAAGTGATACTATCAGATTCCCCATGTGTAAGGCCTCTGTGATTTCATACTGAATTACATTTAAACTTACAGAACTGGGAATTGCTGCAAGCCTAACTTTAAACAGCCACAAAGTGCAGCACTTTCAGCAGAATGCAATGAAAAATGAGAATTCTCAAAAGAAGATGGGGAAGAGATGCACATGTGGTCTTCTTCTGTGGAGCCATACTGTTATGAGATGCGTGTGTGTATACAGCAGCTGCTTCCTCATCTGAACACATCTGTTAATGTCCAAGATACTTTCAAAACCATTCATTTTTCACCTTGACAATGGCTGGAGGGATTCATCTTACCTGATTTTAGTGGACCTCTGAAGTCAGAAAATATCTCTGCAACAAATTGATGGAGGTCAGTGTACGACTTGTGATCAAATGCTGGCCCCCGCTGTGGGATGAGTTGTTGCTGCAACTTACTATTTGATTAGATGCAACCATTCTTTGTTTAGGTGCCCTTTGACATTACACCAAACCAAAAAGATTCTTCTCCTACATTAATGTTGATAACACTGCTACCTCATACATACAAAGGAATATGCTGTGGTTTTTAAATACCTTTTGTTTCACTCTTGACTATTCAGTGGGAGAATCAATGGCTGCATTTGTGTAACTACTCCCAAAACAACTCCTTCTGGCAGTGACTGCTATCAAAGGGTAGAATGTTACATACAAAACTCATCACACACAGTTCTGAGAGGCAGTGATCATGCCCAGCCCTTATCTTTGTGGAAACCACGCTGGCTGGACACATTATGAAACCTATTCTTGGCTTTACACTATTTATGCATTTTTTGCAATCAAAGACATCAGTCTTCATAGATAACAAGTTAAATAACTCTTTCATTACTTGGTACTCAATTTCCTATGTGTTAAGCAACTCTCGCTTCCTATGTTAGTTAGTCCACATGGTCAATCTCTATTTCTCTTTGAGCAGGGTGGGGGGTTGGTTCCTGAGTTAGTGGTCAATGAACCGGTGGTTGTGATCTCCCCTTGACAGAATTACCTTTTCCCCAGTTAGTACTTCATCATAGAATCATGGAATGGTTTGGGTTCAAAAGGACCTTAAGGTCATCTAGTTTTAAACTGCCTGCCATAGGCAAGGACACCTTCCACTAGACCAGGTTGCTCCAAGCCCTGTCCAATCTGGTCTTGAACACTGCCAGGGATGGGGCAGCCACAGCTTCTCAGGGCAGCCTGTGACAGCGCCTCACCACCCTCACAGGAAAGAATGTCTTCCTTATATCTAATCTAAATCTCCCTTCTTTGATCTTAAAGCCATTCCCCCTTGTCCTGTCACTAAATGCCCTTACAAAAAGCCTCTCTCCAGATTTGTTGTTGGCCACTTTAGGCACTGGAAGCTGCCCTAAGGTCTTCCAGAGCCTTCTCTTCTCCAGGCTGAACAACCTCGACTCTCTCAACCTGTCTTCACAAGAGAGGTGCTTCAGCCCTCTGATCTACCTTTGTGACCCTTCTCGACTTGCTCTAACTCTACATCCTTCTTATGCTAGAGGCCCCCAGAGCTGAATGCAGGAGTCCAGGTGGGGTCTCAGAATACTTAATTTGGCACAGCTCATTTCTTGTGGTATACATCCAATTAGCTACCCAAATTATCTTTAAGAATAATGATTTGTTAATAGTAAAGCTACTAGCAATGCTTTTAATTTTGTTAAGTGTTTGCGATCAAAGTGATTCTAAAAACCACCCCAATAGAAACATTAGACTAGATATTAACTGTTAACTTTAGGGAGCAAGAAACCGACAGTCTAGGCATGGTGGCTCACAAAAACCTTTTGCCACACAGGGACCGAAGAGCCACAAACCCACGTCTTTGCCCTGCTCCGGCCGGTGGCGCTCCCGGCCCGCGCCGCTGTCCGCGCCCGTGGTGCTGAACGGCGCCGCTGGGTCTTGCCAGAGTCCCTCGTGCTCCCTCCGAGAAGAACGGCGGGATTACGGCTGCAGTAATTGCGGCCGGATTAACTCCCTGGAAACCGGCTGCAATCGCAGCAGCTGCAAATATCCCCACAATGTGGGATATGGAGCGGGGAGGGGGGCGCATCCACCGCCCAGATGCTGCGTCGCTACTGGGGGAGGGAAAACACAAATATATATCATCCGCTGCTTTTGGGAAGGGCTGGGCCGGCGGGGATCAGGCAGCCCCTCCTCTTCCTCCTCCCTCCTCCTCTTCCTCTCCCTCGCAGCCTCGCTCTGCTGTTCCCGCCAGCCGCATTCCGCGGAGGGGGCGACAGGGGCGCAGATCTCGCACTCCCCCCGTCCCCGTCCCCCCCCCCCCCCGCCGGTGACAAGCGATGGGCGACATCCCCGGCCTCGTGAAAATCAGCGTCTCCCTCAAAATCCAGCCCAACGACGGGGCGGTGTATTTCAAGGTGGACGGGCAGCGCTTCGGCCAGAACCGCACCATCAAGCTGCTGACCGGAGCCAAGTACAAGATCGAGGTGGTCCTGCGGCCCGGCACCGTCCAGGCCACGTAAGTCCGTGCTCGGGGCGGCTCCCCCGGCCCTCCCTTCCCCGCTGCTTTATTTTTAGAGGTTTAATGTTTTTTCCTGGCAGGCTGACAGCGCGGGGTTCCCGTGATTTCTCCCTCCCTGCCTTTTTGCTTTGGTGGCCCTGTTCCTCAGTCCCTGGCCAGCTGTTCCTAGTGCTCTGGATCAGGAGAGAGGCCATGTTTGGGAGTCGCTTCCTCCCCTCTTCATCTGCTCCCCAGAGCTCTTTCAAGTCCAGCTCCTTTTCTCCCTCCTTCCCCACGATTTGCCCTGGAGACAGAGGGAAGAGGCCCCTCTGGCCCTGCATGTCAGGATACACCTAAGCCTTTGCTGCAGCATGGCAAAGCAGAGACAGGGACCAGGGAGGATGCAGGTGGGGAGCCAGCTCCAGGTGGAGGGGCAGCCCTGAAGAAGGGATTTGACTAACCTCTTCCCAGCTACTCGAGATCAGATCCCTCCTGCCTTTCCTTTTGACATCTTCCCTGGAGGACTGCAAAGCCCTGACATTTTTCAGGAGCCCCAGTGAGTCAGCAGCACCCGCAGGCCTGCTAAAATCCCTGAGGCATCCCCCGGCACAGAGCCTGCCAGGCTGCAAGCCCACATGCTGGCTCCAAGCTGCCAAGGAAGGGGGGTGCATGGCTGCTGAAAGGCTGGATCCCATCTCTTTGCAGGACTATGGGCATCGGCGGTGTTAATGTCCCACTGGAGGAGAAATCAAGGGATGCACAAGTGGTCTCTTACACAGGGATCTACGACACAGAAGGGGTGCCCCATACCAAGAGTGGGGAGAGACAGCCCATCCAGGTCAACATGCAGGTATGTGGTTCCCCAGACATGGCATGGGAAGACAAGGGACAGCAGCAGGGGGCTGACTCCCAGAGAGAGGTGTGGAGGTGAAATATTCCAGGACACAGTCTGATCACAGCTGCTGCCTCCTGTTTAGTTTGTGTCAGTAAGACTGCTGATCAGAATAGAGCTAAAAAACACAAGCCCTGCTTCCCAAGGGGAAGCCAAGAGAGGCCAGGAAACAGGAGGGGGATTTCTAGAGACCTGCAAAGCCCTTTCAGGTGCTGTAGCAGGAAGAAATGTGAGCTGAACCTCTCGCCTCTTCTGCAGGACACTACAGACATCAGGCAGCTCCCACCAAGATCCCTGGCTAGGAACCCAATCCCAAGCCCTTGGCATACAGGGACCTCCCTTTTGCCTGCCAGCACCACCAAGTATTTTGAAGCAGAGCCTGCCCTAAGCACAAGGGGTGACTAGTACCTTCCACCTCTCATCTGCAGGATGCCTGTGGACACACCAGAGGCTGAAAGCATGTGTGAAAACAAACCCAGGGCTGGCTTCTCCCTTTCCCCATATCATTCCATTATCACATTATCTCTGCACCCACAAACAAGTTCTTATTCAAATGGCTCCTCACCCCAAGCTTAAAGAGAAGCTCCAAGGGCCAGAATTGGTATATGCCATGGCCGCAAAGTGAGATGACAAAAGCTCCAGCCTGTAACGTGGCAGAGTTGACAGAAGACAGGAACAGCAGCAGGCAGATTTCCATAGCACTCTGGCTGGTATGCTCGGGGTGCAGAGGGAGGTCTGTCTTGTCTGTCTTTGGTTTGCTTGTTTGGGTTTTTTCCCCTTTTCCTGATTACAGTTTTGAGGGATTCTTGCTGTTTATTCTTTGCCTACTGTACCAAAAAGGGGAAATGGAGCAATAAGCTATCTTCATCCAAAGCTGTCTTAACGGTCTGTTTCAACTCTCATAAGTTAGGACATTGCCAAGCCCACCAGATTTCAGCTTTTTCTCACATTTGGTCACTGCATGGAAGATCTCATCTTGATCTTTTATCTTCACTATTTTTTTCTGCGGCCATCATTTAGCACGGCAGTCCCCCTCTTAAGAACTGTAACGTTTCTATTTGGTGTTTCTAATAATTACAGCGCACCTAACTTAATTGTGGAGACCCACATCACATTAGCAGTTACTACTTCAGAATCTTAGGTTAATAAGACTACCCTGAAGTATCTGTCCAGGTTAATCATTTTTACGTACAGTCACCTCTTTTTAACATCCAGGAAAACCTAACACTCAATATGACTCCTCAGCCATCGGAACAGGGCTGCTGGATGCCACTGATGACTGCAGTTAAATTTCACAGTCCTTATACCAGGAGGTGAAAGGGCAGCGCTCCCTAAAACCCAGCTGCTTTGACTAAGGCATCCCTATTGTGATAGCCACATTTAACCTTAAGTGAAACACTCACATGAACCCTAAAAATCTGGATGTTTAACTTTTCTTACAGAGAAAAGCAAGTCAAATCACAAATAAAGCAATTCTAAGAAATGCAAGGAGGGTCTGATTTACACATACAAGCTCTGAGGTGTTTTGTTGCAGCATCAGAATGCAAAGCCATGTTATTTGCCCAAACAGTTGCTTCTACAAATCAAATCCTGGGATATTAACCATGATGCTAATAGGATTTTCAAGCATTAAGCAGGTCCTCAACCCTTTTTAGGATCTGATCTTCATAGATAGGTTCTTCAGTGCTTAATCAGGATGTCCACAATCGTTACTTTTATGTATTAAATATAGGCATCTCAACTGGGATTTACATGTTTTAACTCATCATTTAGGTGCTAGACAGAGCTGTAACAGATTTAGGCAACCAGTGTCAGATACCCCAGTCCAAAAGCTGCTTCTAATACCTAGTTCCAGATTCTTCAAAACTGGGCTTATTACATATGGCTTTAAAATTTCCTACTTCTTTCAACTATGAGGAACTTCTGCCTCCACTTCCTTTTCTAGAACTGGCAGGATCCTGGTACATCCTAGGGAGATAAGGATACTATTTAAGGCATAAAATCTGAACTCACATTAGAAACAGACTGTGAGGTCAGTCCTGCAGTTAAGCACTGGTTTGACACTCCTGAAAGACACAATGTCCATAAAGGCCCATAAAAATTTATTTTCCAACTGCTTTAAAACTTCAAACAAATAATTTGTGTTCCTTCTTCAGCTGGGTGGTAGACAACTTGCCTGCTACAGCCATAGTGTATACATGTAAAACAACAATCCTGCTTCTGAATTCCAGAATCTGAGGATGCATTTCTATTACATGAATGCTCAGTTATGCTCACTATCCAGAAACTGCTAAATTCTCTAGCAAATGGTGTAAACTTATTTAGAAACCTCTCATTTTATTCTCAGCCAGACTAGTCTCAGATTGAATAAACAAGCTAAACCTCTATTCCCAGTAATAAGTACTCATCAAATCATCCTAGCATGCAGATTCAGAGGGAATGATTAACTGTTCACACCTATACTGCTGGATGAGAGAGAATAGCAGACAGGGAAGTAAGCCTGACCTACAAGTAGGGCCATGCCTCCTCTCTGACAAAGCCCATATACAGGCCCAGTGGAGGAGCCAGGATTTAGCTGCAGGAGTCATGGGAATTCAGGGAACTCTGAGGATGCAGAATGTTCAGGATACCACAGAGCTGCTGCATCTGCTAAGCACTGGGTTTGGGGGAAGGCACAGGGTAGTAGAAAATCCCTGCAGTTAATTCGTTCCTTCTCCAGGAAATCCACAGCAAACCACTCAGGGTAGCTCAGCAAAACTGGGTCATTGGAGGAATACAGAATTTGTTTCCCTCCTCTCGTTGAAATTCAGATCCTTCATACGTTAACAAAATGAAATGCTCTTCTTGTATCATACCACCTTCTACAAATGCTACTAGAAATGCCTTTCATTCCTCAGTTTCCACACTGAGGTTGGCTGATGCTTCTCTCTGACAATCTCTCTTTCCGGATTGTGCACCATAATATCCAATGCGCTTAACTTTTACTCTTGCATTATGAGTGTATCAGGATTACTATCAAACAAACAAACAAAACAACCAACCCCAAACCTTAATGAAGGTTTTAGTTGCTGGGAGAGATAAAATAGCCTGTCTTTTGACAAAGACATCTGATTCTGTCTTTGTCAAATGAAAGAGCAGAAATATTTCAGATATTCCTTTAAGGTAACACTTGGAACTGGAGCCAAATAAAAACTTTCCCCTAACAGCACACAATTCTTGCTGTTGCCAAGGCTAAATTTAACTTACCACAGTGGGCTGGGGAAGGTTTAAAGCAATGGCCATTACACAGCAGCAGCTTACAAACCACATATTGAATTAAAAAAAAAAACCCAGTAAACTACATGTCCTCCTGAGAAAACTGGATAGAGAAGACTGCTTATAACTCAGGAAGAGTCACTGTATAAAAGGGCTTTCATACAGACTTTGTAAGTGGGATTGTAATAGGCAGATGATTGAAGGTCAGCTCCCAGGCACATGACGGGAATGGAAAACAATCAAGTGAAGGAGCTGTCATTAAAATGAGTGATGGAAATATTTAAAAGGAAAAAATGTTGAAGAACAGTGCTGTTCAGTAGCACTGAATTCACATCTAGTATCTAACAACATAACACAATCAAGCCATGCTACTGGGACCAACCGCAATACATACAGGCTTCACACGCACACTACAGATTCTCTGCAACTTCCCGAGGCACAGAAACTCAAATTCTGCAGCAGCATTATAACTGAAATCATAATCTATCCTTGAAATCCTCACAAGGTTTTCCCGATGATGTAAAGGTGTCCAGCAGTGCCTTAAAATAAAAAGGGGAGATTTCTGTTCTGCAAAATTTACTAGAGCCATAATCTCATTCACTCCAAAGTTGCAAATCCAATAAGACAACTTACAGACAATGTCTCACTACTTCTTCACTGTACTAGACACTTATCTGCTAAACACGCTGATTATCTCCTTCCTAGCTTCTGTTACTCATACCTCAGTTTGGAAAGTGCACTATCACAGTACAGCTAGCAATTACAGAAATGCACAAATAACTTCTTTTGCTTGTTTCATGTAAAACCTGGAACAGAATCCCAGGCAAAGAGTAAGTGGTCTAATAGCAGCATGTCTTAGTCAAGATACTGCTAACACAAGGCTACAAAATACAGGGGCATTAAAGATTTCAGATTAAGCAAAAGAAGGAGCAGCCTCTAGGTATGGTATAAAGGTGAAGTGATGGCATATATCCCTACAGATTGCTGCTACATGGTCTACAGTATATACAGGCCACTTGAAGATCATTGGGCCAACTACTGCTGAGTCATCCTAAGGATTATGGCTTTGATTCTTGCTGTTAGTAACATTTATCCATGTGGGACCTTGAACATTTTTACTGTCATGCCTTTCCAGATGCAAGTGCAAGCAGATAGTACCTGGAGAATCTGATCCTTCATGGTTTATGTATGCCTCACCATAAAAGACTTTATGACTGCTAGAGCAGGCTTTACAGATCTGATTTATTGAGTTGAGGAACAATAACTCTTACATCAGCTGTTTTATGGTCCACAGTTTCATTAAGAGAGAGAGAAACCAACAAAATAATCAGCTCACTAACACTGATATTCCCTCTTCCTTGCAGTTTAACGACATTGGTGTTTTTGAAACAGTCTGGCAAGTCAAATTCTACAACTACCACAAGCGGGATCATTGCCAATGGGGTAACAGTTTTGGCTGCATTGAGTACGAATGCAAACCAAATGAAACACGCAGTCTTATGTGGATCAATAAAGAGACCTTCCGCTGAAGAGTCTAGCACTGGCTTAAAATAAAAAGGGGAGAATTCAGATTCACACTGAAGAGATGTGAAACCAGTACTGCTGGACAATCTCCCTAAAGAGGAATCTACCTTTTTAAACCAGCAAGAAGTCTTAACAAAGGCGTACTGTAACATTGCTTTGTTCCGTAAGGTTCCAACAACTATGTTGTATATACAGGTGGTGTCACTAAAATCTTTGCCTATTACTGTATATTAAGTTTACCATGGCAACATTCTTTACCTGTCATCCTGAGAATCCTGAAAGTTCATGGTAAAGAATATTTGATAGCTGGGTAGGAAGTCGTACCCTCGTAATAGCGTCATAAGTATCTGGATTATTCCCACTAAATGGTTTCAGTAGACATAACTCTTGCAAAGTGTTTTGCTTTATTGCTTAGAAATTGGATGCAACATCACCTGGGTGATTTCTGTATTTGCATTTGTGTTTGCTCCTAAATTGGTGTGCTCCTTCAAGCATTTTGTCGTACATGTCATCCCAGTGGACAGCAAAATGTGCAAACTATGGATATTTGTAGGTTTAGCTAAATGGCAGCTATTGCACTGTTGATATTGTGCTTTCATACCAAGGAACTTGGAAACTCATTCTTCCTTTTGGTAAGTGCTGTTACGATATTTTGTGAAGTTTGCTAATTTACCAAATGTCTCAAGATAGGATTCTTTGTTAAGTTTCACAGTCTCTGAAATAGTTTTAGGAAACTGTATAAAATATGCTAACCTGAATGAAGGAAAAGCAATAAACCAGCTATGGTATCAGACACCTAACAACATGGCTAGTTTCTCTCTTAAGATCATACAGTATATTCCTGAAAGATGCAGCAACCATACTTTATTTAGTTCTTAAATTAAGAGTTCTGGTAGTAATCTTCATTTTTGTTTTAAACACACATTGCTCAAACAGTTAAATCCTACAGATTGACTTTTTTCAAGCCTGGCCACTGCATTATACCCAAAATCAACAGGATTTCTGACCAACAAACACTTAACAGTGTGAAGAGCACAGATCCCATGCATGTTTATACATGCACTGCAGTCTTTCAAATAAAGATAAGCATGTAAGCATTTGCATGGTTATGACTAAAGGTGCTACATAAACACTAGATCAGTGTTTAACACATACAACAAAAAATAAACGTATCTTTTATTTCAGTAAATAAAAGCAGGGAAAAAAGTACACTCTCCCATCCCCAACTTGGGCTGAAGCTGTCAGTTCTTGTACATCTGTGATTCCCTTTGTGAATAATTTGTAAATTGTGTATGTAAATGGTTACCATTACTTTTGATCTTTGTAATAAAGGACATAAACAATTTCTTCTCTAGTATGACATTATAAATGAATTGAAAATACTATATCAAGAAAGTCACTGGTTTTAGAAAGTCAGACAGGAGAGGGTTCATAGTCAGTGCTGTCTGAGAATCCAGTCCAAAGCACGCATGTTCTTTATCCAAAGTCTTTAGGAAATACAGTTTCAGTGTGTTAGAATACAGACAGTTAATGTGGTAACATTCAATAGAGCTTATTGATAAAATGCAGCTGAATTTTATTACACTAACATGTTTGGAAGGTACCAAATTAGAACACAAGTAATATACCAAATATGTATTTTCTTTAGTTGAATTATTAATCAAAAAGCTTGACCATTTACAGATTTCTACAGACAGAAGAACCTGACAGTAGCACTGTTGTAAGACACCACTGGATCAGGTTGCTACCCAGCCGTATCTCTGCTCTGAGGCAATATTACACAGGCAAATTTCACTGTGATGAAATTCTAGAAGTAATCTATGTTAACGTCTTTCCTAGGCCTTTCCTAGATTACAGGAAGTGATTACTAAGTGAACTGATTAAATTCAAATGAAATCTGTACTTCAGACAGAAGTGTTATTGCCAGCACTTCAGCAGAAGTTCCAGATAAGAGGCTTAAATGATACCAAGCTTCCAGCTGTCAATCAATTCTAGCTCTGCACTACTAGAAAGAAATTGTATTCTGCAACAACTGGCATACTTAGGGTTCTGTGAAACCAAAAATGGTTTGGGTTAGAAGGGATCTTGAAGATCATCTAGTTAAATGTCCTTGCCCTTCCACTAGACCAGATTGCTCAAAGCTCCATCCAACCTGGCCTTGAACACTTCCAGGGATGGGCAGCCACAGCTTCTCTGGGCAACCTAATTTTGGTTCTACACATGAACTGAAAGCACATCAGCAAGAAATATGTATGATAATAAATTAACAGAGAAGCTTCTACCCTAGTGAAATTAAAATGTGTAAGACAAGCCTTCACTTTGAGCTCTGCTGCTTTGACCTATAACGTCCTAGCTCTCCAGCATTTGAGAAACATTAAAATGAATAAATCTGTTCTGGCATGAGAAGGGCTGTTAGCTGGGAAACACACTTTTTCCATGGTAAATACTCATGCCCATATTAATGCCAAATAGGGCAGCTCCTTTATGTCCTAGCAAGTCTTGTAGCAATTCAGTTCAGAGGGTGGTCAAGAAAGAGCCTGGAGATGGAGTGAGTTGTTTTCAAAAGGACAGAAAGAACAGCGAGACCACTTGTTTCTTGGAGGCTCCATATCCTGAGACTGAAAGTGATTGTAGCACCCCTTCTACAAACAGTGGCAGTGATAAAAAGGATGAGGACTGGTTAACAGTTTATCTTGGGTCAGGTGAAATGGCATTGATCAGCTGTTAGACCCTTCTCCCCTAGATAAGGTTTAAGCATACAGAAATGTGGCTTGATGGCCTTACATCATTCCTAAACAGATTATTCAAGTGGTGTTTGTTGAGTATTCATACCACTAGTGCTGATACTTGGCACACGTAAAGCAAACTATCCCCATCGATCTCACCTTGCACAAGTGCTTTGCTAACAAAGCAAACATTTGCTCCTAGTAAAAGTGATGCCAGACTTCAGCAGTTCCCTGGAAAGTAATTGTTTGATTTTCTTTCATGCAGGACAACTCTGGTAAATATTCATAGAGCCTGAGTCACTAAAAAACTGTTGCTGTGACAGTTGGATGCATTATTCCATCAGCAGCATTTAATCTCCAGACAACTTTGTTCTTTACACAGCTTTTTCTAAGTAGTATTTCATTTTTAGTACTGAATTCCAAAATTCAGAACAGGACATAATACACTAAGCTTAAGTATATATTTATTCATTACAATGTCAGAAAGTGCTGAAAATGTGTCAATCCATTGAAAACACGAGACACTCATATCTGAAGGTTTTATCCGTGAAAGGCTTCAAGATTTTTCTCATGCAGCATTCCAGCTTTCATTTTCATAAGAAAGATTGAAACAAAGACACGAAGTCTTTCAGAGTCACATTTTCATCTGTATTTAGGTAGCAGTTAACACTTTCAGACTGCTGAGTAACAGGATCCAAAAGCAAGTTATTAGTAATGATTATTACAGTTGTGATCATGCACAGGGCTTATATCATTAGAGTTTGCACAAGACTTTGCGTTTAGTGCAGCCACTACAGGCTTTGGTATCTCCCACCAGCGGACTGCATCTGAAAAAGAAATAATACTGCTGAAGTCTCCATGCCCTGCTAACACAAGGTAGGGAGGTTTCACTGGCTTCAGCTGAGGTTCCATCCATTGGTTTGCAGATGCAGAGTGACCCGTGCAGATGTCAGACTAGCAGAGTATCAGAAAACCTCATCTGTTAAATTCTTCCTATAAAAGATGTTAACAGAACTTCTCTATGATGAACCTGAGTTTTATAATGCAAGGCTCTCACGTGCCAGCAGAGGTTGGTTTCCATTTGGTCAAGAGTTCCTGCCTCACTTGCTATGTAAAATTTTGATGTGTGTGCCAAGCTGAACAGTTCTATACTTCCAGAGTCTCCTTGTGAAGCTTTGATTAAATAAGGATATGGCATCTTGTAAATGTTAACCTTTTTGAGATCTGAAACAAGTGCTTTGGCTTCCAGAATTCAAAGCATTGAATTAATAGCTGTGTCAACCCTGCAGCACAAAGCAGCAGTATAATGAGTCTTACAACATTCATGTTTTCCCTTAGCTCTACAAAGCTCACAAGCAATGATTGGAAAGTCCCCTTAATGCAGCTAATCCAGATCTCTGGCTAGGAGAGACAGGCACTCCTGCTCATGGGCCTTCCCTGCTGCATTCCTGGCAGCTTTTGCCAGATTTCCTTGGACTGCTTCCTTTTCCCCTCTCTCTGAGACCAGCATTTAAAGCTTCAGATCCCTGTGAGCCCTGGCTTTCAGCCTTAGTAACACAAGACTGCATCAACCCAGGAAGAGGGAAACCAGCCCTCTCTGCATCATTTTCTCTGTTCCTACTTCAAGTCATTATTTCTCTTATTAGTCAACACAGTTTAGTTCTGTGCACTCAGGAAGGTTAATCCCATGAATGACCTTACACATTACATATAATCTTGTCTACCTCTTTCTGCAGAAGAAATTCACAGAGATTCCAACTGTATCCCAACTATAAATAAGAAAAAAAATGAGCAGTTGCCAAAAATATAAAGAAGTAAATTTGGACAGAAGGCACTGCTGACTGTCAGTGGTGGAGGTGCCACAGCCATTACAGTGCTGAAGAACTCAATCACAAAGATTGTTTCCATAGTCCTCTAACACTCACTGAATTTCTCTGTAGAAGTACACACAAGTGAAGAACCATTAAGTTCTCCCACTGCAATCATTGGAGGTTGTAATCTTTTGACCTGCAGTGAGTTGCACTGCTCAGGTATGAGTATATAGATACAAACAGAACTCCATTAGAGACAAGGCTTAAAAGTAATGCCAGCTTTTAAATCAATGTTGGTGCCCAAAATATTCAATTAAAAATATGTAATTCATAACATGTGCTGTTATTAGTTAGCATTGACAAAGTGTAAGGCTTTGATATTCTGTTTTTCCTCAATGCTGCATATATAAATGCTTCATACACGAACTGTAGTGCCTTTGTTTTCCTCCCCCAGAGAACAGACACTCCTACTCCCTTTATCCCACATAGCAAGGCACAGCCTGGTATTCCATCCGGTAACTTCTGTAGCCTCCAAACCACCCTGAGAGAAGCAACAAATAAACTATCAGTTGATGAAGGCAAGAACCATATGACTGTGTTGGAGGTAAAATGGACCTTTTGCCCCTTCTCAGCACAGTAACTACAGGGTTAGGTGCCATCCTGCTGTTATGGGAGTGACTGTTGTAACAGGGTTGGTAGATCAACATCAATCTACAGTGTATGTGCTGCTGGGACCAAATGTTCTTAGAAGCTTGAACTGCATCATTATGAGTTTAATGTGAACCCCAGAGGGCCCTGTCTGCAGAGAAGTGGCAACAGCATGCAACAGTATCACAACATACACTATTTTCTGACTAGGATAGCACTCTTCTCAAATCTAAGTTGCTATGCCAACAGATTCACCTAAGATACTTCCACATTTCAGACTTACTGTAATGAAAAAGCCCTGGCCAATTCTATGTATAGAATGTATAGTCTAAAGTTGGTGCTTTCTTTTCATTTTGTGGCTTTTGGGGGTTATTTTTCTGTTTGCTTGTTTTTAATTAACAGATTATTTTAGTCCATCTCCTTCTTACCTTCTGGGCTTTTATTAAAAGTCATAGAAATGAAAGATTAAATGAGGTTATGGTCCTAAGGATGCTTTGAAAAAGCAGGCTGGCTCTACCATATCTCAAATCAGTTATGAGTTACCTGCTGTGTAGCCCCTTAGATGCAGAATTCCTGGAGGAGGAGAAGGAGGATTTAGTGCAATCTGCACCAGATAATTCAAACCCCTGCTTTAAATTCCTGCAAAAACACCAGACCATTTCTCTGCAATTATTTTATCCATGGTCTACAGATTTTCAAACAAGACTTCATCTGAAGTGAGCAGGTACAAATTATTAGCCATTACAGTCAAGAATAAATGCCCAGCTCTGGTAAATTTTCTATATTTGAATAATTATTTCAATTCCCACTGCTCCAGTAAAAGAAAATTAACTGCTGAGGATTCAGGGTTTTGAAGCAATGTTCTTTCAGCTCACAATTGTTTCACAAAAATCACTGCCCTGTGAATATGAAAAACATAGTCAAACTTTTACTTTGCCTTTGTTCTCAGTAGTATATCACAGTGAACTGTGGAACTTACAGTGAACTGTAGACTAATTTCCTGTCCATCTCCTGTGGATTTTCTGGTGGTTTAATACTACGGTTCAACACATACCACAGCCCTTCTGTCATCATGGACTCTCTGTTCCGATATGTAATTTCATAAAATTCAAAGCAACTCAATTACAGGACCTTAGCCTCTCTTTCAGTTTTCATGGAAA